CATCGATTTATGAATATAGCTTCTCGCTTCTGTACCATAAACGATCGATCAAACGCGATTGACTCATGAAAATGCCATACCCCTTCGCGATAGTTCCAAATTCGTCTGGACGGCGTGGACAAGCTTCTAGGCGACGCGAAACAGTCCCTCGGCGGTCTTTGTCGCCGGCGATCCTCGTCGTCGTCCTCGTCCTCGTCCTCGTCCTCGCTGTCCTCTTCGTCCCCGGCGTCGTAACGCCTCCGCCTGCCCACGTGAAGATCCTGCGCGGGACGACGCCGACGTCTTCTCTCGACCGGTGTCTCCGGGCTCGACCGGATCCTGATGATCGTCGCGCCGTTCCTCTCGCGAGTGGACGCGTATCTGCTGTCCGAATCCTGAGGCTGATCCGCGTCCCCGTGATTGTACGCGATCGCGTTCGGATAATCCTTCCTCTGCTCCCGTTTGGCAGCCTCGACTTCGTTGCCGAACCGATCGTTCGATCGACTACTCTTCTCCCGGATCTCCAGCAATCCGACTTCCGGCGAGGGATCCCGTTCGATCTCGGAATGGCCCTCGGGATTCGAGCGGTATCTGCTGTGCTCCCGCAGATACTTCGCGGCGAACATTCTATTGGACTCGTGCCAGGAGTTCGCGTCGAAATCCTCGTGATCCTTGGGATCCTCGCGATACTCCGGATCGTTCCTCTTCGGAGGGCTCAGAGGCCTGGAGTGTCTGTCGGACTTCCTGTCGAACGAGTCGTGGCTCTTGCTCCTCAGGGACGCCCGCCTCCTTCCCGAGGACTCGTGATCCTTAAGAGGATGCTTCCTCTCGGAATCGGCGTCCCGATCGTTCGGCGGCTCCGCTTCCTGAGACTGATAGGAGGCCGGCCCGAACTCGACGTATCGCCCGTTCGGGGAGGACCTTCGCCTCGATTCGTCGAGACTTCGGAAGGACACTTTTCCAGGCTCGTGGTCCTCGGTCTTGTACCCGATTCTCCGGTCGGCTTCCTCGTCGTTGTCCTCGAGGTCCTTGTAAGTGATCCCGGCGAATTCCACGGTCTTCTCCTTGAACGAGTTCTTTCGTCCCACGTCGTTCGAGCGGTGCTTAAAGCTGACCCTGCCCGCTTCCGCATCCTGCTCTTTGTACGAGTGGATCCTGGCCGCGTCCGCGTCTTGCTCCTTGAACGTTATTCTACTGACTCCGCCGGAATGTCCTTTCGACGAGTTCTTTCTCTCTTCCTCCTCGTCGCAGTTCCTCGACGAAATTCTCCCGTAATCCGAGCTCTCCTTGAAGGAATTCTTTCTCCCACCGTCGTGCCCCTGCTCTTTGAAGGAGCCTCTCCTGGACACGTGTTCCGCTGCGTCCTTTCGAAAGCAATTCTTCTCGGCGTCCTGACTCTTGAACGAATTCTTTCTGTGCAGGTCGTTCTCTTGGTTCTTCAGCGAGGCTCTCCTGCTCAGGCTGGATTCCCGGCTCTTCTTCGCGTCGCCGGTCTTGAACGAGCTTTTCCTCGCCACTTGGCGATCGTGATCTTTGAACGACTCCTTCCTACCTAGATCCGCGGCTGCGTCCTTCAGCGGAACGCGTCTGGGCGAGTCTAGGTCCCTCCTAGGCTCGAGGAGCGCTCTCTCGTACCTCTGTATCCGCACGTCGAAGTCCTCGGGGTTCCCCTCGTAAGCGTAGCTCCTTCTCTTCGGGCTGTCCTTCCGCCGAGGAGGATCGTCCTCCAGTTCTCTGGACCGTCTGCGACTTTTATCGGAAACGTACGCGTTCCTCCTCAACTCTTCATTCTTCTCGCAGATTGGTTCGTTCAGTTTGTCGTGCTTCCGGTCCACGGAGCGGCTCCTAGTGTTCTCCTCGTGCTCGATTCTGTCCGGCTCGCGGATCTTGGATCTGGTCGTTCTTCGATCGTCCCGTCTGTCCTCCTTCTGAACCCCGAACTCTCTGTCGTTCACGCAATCCTCGCGATCGGTCCGCGCATCGCCTCGACTCGCGCTCTTCGATCTATACTCGTCTTTCTCCGGACTGAGAGAGTCCCGATCCTTCTTCGATTTCATCTTCTCCTCCTCGCGGGACTTGAACCGCTCGATCATCGCGCGGATCCTTCGATCGGGCGATCTCCCGTCGACGGCCAGGTTCTCGATCTCCCTAAGAAGCAGATCCCTCTCGTCGATCGGCTGGGAGTCGTTCCTGCCCTCGTTGATCCTCGACCGATGCGGCTTCGAGAACACCCTCGCGTCGCATTCCCAGTTCTCACCTTTCTTCCTCGATCTGTGCGTCTGTTCGCGATCGACGGAGTCGCTTCTGCCGTGATCCTCGTGGCGATCGTGCCTCGCCAGATCGTTCCTGGGCCTGCCGTTCGTCAGCCGGGCGTCGTCGAATCGGTCCGGCTGCTTTTTCGAGCCGAGCCTCTCGTCCTGAACGACGATGTCCTTGATGTCCCAGGCGCCGAAGTGGTCCCTGCTCTTTTTGTAGAGCAAGTCCGCGTCATCGGGCGGCCTCTCCTTATGGTCTCGGCCGTTCTTACTCGCCTCCTCGTTCTGCTGCCTCGTCATGCCGAAGTGATAACGGCTGGTCCCGTTCTTGTACTGCGACTTCAACGGCTGGGCCACGCCGTTGTCCTCTCTGAAGTGATCCCTCGCGTAAGGGGGCACCTCGGTGGCCTCCTTCATCGTCGAGGAGCCGCGCAGCCGGGACGACATCGTCGCTGATCACTGTACTTTGTAATGTCCACCACTCTGTCCACCGACGTTCGACGTTGGAAACCGTTCAAGGCTCCGTCACGGTTCCCCGCGGTTCTCGCCGCGCGATCACGGATAATCCACGCAGAGAGAGAGAGAGAGAGTCACAACATACAGCGGCGCGGTCACTGAGCGACGGCGGTCGTCGTTGGGATCCAGGTATCCAGGTTCGAGCTCGGCTCGATCCAGCGGCGACTGTGACATCGGTCAAGGAACTCGCCGCGCGGTTTCGATTCCACCAGCTCGAAGAGGAACACGCGCAGCGCGGCGATCGCGACGGGCCGCCGATCGCAGAGCCGTCGACCGCGATCCACGGACGGTGCCCGGCGTTTCCGTTTCCCTTTTCCGTCGCGGTGGGTCCGGACTGCTCCGCGATAACCGCGGCGACGCGTACGAGAATCCCTTTCGGCGGCTGACTCCTTTTTCGCGAGGCGAAGCCGGCTTCGGCGGAACGAGCGGAGCAGACGACCCTGAAAGTCGTCTGTGGACTTTCACGAACGCGAGCACTTTGCCGGTCGGAGTCACCACGAGAGTGTGCACCGGAGGAGAGCGTGTTCCTCCTCTCCCTCTCCCCTCGGCTCTTAGCCTCCCTTCCTACGGACCCAACACCCGCTTGCTCCCCTCCCTCCTTCCCCACTTTCATCCACC